TGGAGACTTGGTGGGGACAAAGACCAAAGGTAAAGTGGATGATGGAAGGTGATCCAAAATTCCAAGTTTTTCAAACATATGCTTCAGCTAGAAGGAACTCAAATTTCATAGCAAAAATTAAAAATGAAGATGGAATAATTATGAAAGATCAGCAATGTATTGAGAATGTGTTGCTCAATTACTTCAAAGAGAATAGAGGATTAGAGAATGCAATATGGATAATTGGCCCAATCCGTTGAATTCTCTTGATGATGAAGATAGAATTTTTCTTGACAAAGCTTTCACATTCAAGGAAGTGGAGGATGTGATCGAGCTCAGTGGCAATAATATATCCCCAGTTAATGATGGTATTTCCTTCTCTTTTTTAGAAGCTTATTGGGATATCATTAAGATTGATTTTTGGAATGTTATAAATGCTTTTTTGGAGTCTTCATTTATGGATCCTAATTGGAAGAAAACTATCATTGTGCTTATCCCTAAAGTCTCTAATCCTTTGGTTCCTTCTAACTTTAGACTGATTAGCTTATGTAATTCGGTTTATAAAGTAGTGGCAAAAGTTTTACTTAACAGGATGTCTTCTATCATCCCTAAACTTATCTACGTTTTTGAGAGGTAGATCTCTTTTAGATCAAGTGCTTATTGCTCAAGAGGTTATGCATAAATTCAAATACTCTTAATCTACTAAAGGATTGGCTGCTTTCAAAATAGACATGGAACATGCCTTTGATTCAATGGGGTGGCCAACCTTAAAGAAAGCCTTGAAGATTTTTGGGTTTCCTTCCAATTTCTCTAATCTTATTTTAGAATGTGTCCAAGATTCAAAATTTTCAATTCTTATCAATGGCAATCTTTCTAATTGGATAGAACATAAGAGTGGTTTTAGACAAGGTTGTCCCTTGTCGCCCTTTCTTTTTATACTTTGCACTCAACTTCTATCAATGGCTTTGAACAAAGAGAAGATAGCATTGGAATCCAGTTATGCTCCAAGGGTCCAAGACTTTCACACTTGTTGTATGCTGATGATATAATCATCTTTTTGGAAACAAAAGTGAAGGTAGTTAAAGAAGTAAAATCTGTTTTGCAAAAATTCTATGGATGGACTGGGTTATGCATCAATTTCAACAAATCTAGTATGATTTTTGGCAAAATAGTTAATAGAAGACTGAAGAAATCTGTTACGCGAATCATGGGGTTCAAAGTTTCCAAGGAATTGACTTATCTTGGAATAAAGTTAGCAACTAGAAGACTAGCTAAAGAAGATTTCCAATTTATCATTGACAAAGCATTGAAGATGACAAACATTTAGGGAGGAAAACTCATTTCTTTGGCAGGAAAGATTTTATTTTCTAAAACAATTCTTTCTTCATATACTATCTTTCATTGTACAAACTCTTTAGTTCCAAAGAGTGTGCTTGATGAAGTTGACAAAATCTGTAGAAATTTTATCTGGAATAAATCTAACAATAGAAATGGCATTCATTATGTCAATTGGAATGTTATGTGTTTACCCTTGGCTTGTGGTGGAAAAGGTCTTCACTCTTGCTCTAGTTTTGTAAGACCCTTGAGAGCTAAATTGGCTTGGAGATACATGGAAGATAAGTAGTCAATGCTGCACAAAATCCTCTATTTGAAATATGGAAGTATTCTGGATGAAGGCGTTTCAAGAAGAACGGGTTCTTCTTCTTGGAAGATCCTTGCTGATGGAATTAAATCTCTTAGCACAATTATTAGATGGAATGTTGTCAATGTTGTTGACAATGATGTTTTTAATGATAATTGGATCTTAGAAAAAAGTTTAAACAAATGGCCAACTTTTGTTATTCCAAATGATAATAGCAGATTTTCGATTTCAAATTGTATTAATGATGGTAGATGGAATGTGGATGTTATTAGAAACCACATGGGCAATGATCTTGTTAACTTAATTTCTCAAATTAAGATTAGCACATATTTTATGGAGGACAAGAGGGAATTGATGCATTCATTGAGTGGTAAATCAATTTCTGCTTTGATAATTGAAAAATCTGTTAATCTGTCGGGTAATAAGAAATATTGGAGATGGATTAAGAAAGCCAAGTTGAATCCAAGGTTGGAGACATTTTGATGGAGGATTTTCAATGATGCCATTCCTACATACAAATTGCTGGAACATAGAAGACTGCACAATTCCAGTCTTTGTCCGAGAAATTGTTTAGAAGAAAAAGACTTAAATCATGTTGTGGCTAGATGCAAAAAACTGAAGGAAGTTTTTCATCAAATTGATAAGTGGGGCTTTCATATTCCTGATTTCGATTCATTATTGGAATGCAGCAACTAGTTGTCCAGTCAAAGCTCTTTTATGGTCAATTTATATTGCAATGTGGTTTTCTTTACTTGGAAATCTAGGAACAATTTGATTCACAATGGTAAAGAAATCTGCTCTTTAATTATTTGATCTATTGCAGTGCGCTATTCTTCAACTATGGCTCAAGGATCTATTAATTGCTCTGTTAAATGGGATACTAATCAATCGCCTAGACCGTCCAATATTCATTGGTATCCCCCTCCACCCGATTAGCTTAAGGTCAACGTGGATGCTTCCCAACGTGGATGCTTCCCTTCTTCCTTCTTATAAAGCTTGTATTGGTGGTGTGGTACATGATAACCAAGGAAGATTTCTCTTGGCTTTTGGAAAATCATATATTCGCTGGGATATTACAACTTTGGAGATGCTGGCTACTCAATCATTCAAGGAGGTGATCAAGGATTGGATGTTCAAGTACAAGGGCTTTATAATTGAAGGAGATAACGCAAATGCGATGAGGTATTTGCAAAATCCAAATCATAAAGATTCTTCGAGGTATGTTGGTTGTTATCTTTATGAAGAATTTCATGAAATTGTTTTTAATTTAGTTCATAGAAAATGTAATAAGTTAGCGGATCTATGTGCTAACTATGGGATTATGAGTTCCTTTGTTTGGGAAGATGTAACCATAGATAAGATTCCTCCTCTCTTTATGTCTATTTTAAAGGAGAAATCTAGTTTGGTTAGTACTTAGTTTGTTTCCTTTTTCATTATTAATGCAATTTTATGCATTAAAAAAAACATTATTAATAATTACATTAAAAGGCTCTTCACAAAAATCCTCCCAATATCTACTTACAATGATTTGTTAAATTTGGTGGCTAGGATTTTGAAAACCTTTCTAGAATTAGATGCCTAGTGACTTATAAATCTATTAAACTAGATTTGATATAAGCATATATGAATAGATTCTTATCATAAGAATAAGAAGACTTCTTCTTTCCAAATAACTTAGGGGCTATTTTGGTAAAGAGAATTTAAAAGAAGAAGGGCTTGATGGAATGGTTATGTTATGAATGAAATGAAAATGAAAGAACCTCATTCTATAAATTTGTCGAACATTATGGTGTTATAATAAATGGCATCGTGGTGCTCAATTTATGAATAAAATAATATAATTGCCAAATTGATAATCGCAACACCAATCCATGAGTGGTAGAAGTTTTGGTTTTTTAAAATTGAAGAATTTCTTTGGGACTTTCTACCACTATGATGATTGACACATGTAATCATAGTGGTCATAGTGTAAGTAACAACCATGGCACTTTTAATAAAACAAAAATAAAAGTATAAGTGGAGCTACAACATTCGTTACTAAAGTTGTGGTGCTTACCAAAATTTTGTAATTAAAGTTAAAATTATAAATCTTGTTTTTGACTTGATAAAATCAAGCTTTTTACTCGAAGAACTAATTGTTATGGTGTTGAAATAATCAAAATTGTAGTTCTCAATTAACTGGGCTAATGATGGTTCAAAATAAATATTTCTTAATGTTTTAATGTTGCAGCATATGGTTTCAAAGTAGTAATGCTAGGGTGAGTAGTGTAGCAATGTTTATTCACTCAGTGTTATTGAGCTCTTTTAAATGTTTAGTCAAAGTATGTATCCATTTTTCATAATATGATGCATGGATCAGATATATCATGGCCAATTCCTTAGAAGATTCTTCCACAATGGACTCCGATAAGTGAGATTTTGAGTCAATGTTTATAGAATCTTCTTATGTCTGAAAAAATGATTCATCAAAATAATGAGTCACCGTTCCATTGATATGGGCACATCTGAGATCAACAAATGCTTGGGAGTTCCTCTATTCCAACTTTTTCTTTCTTCTTGTTGTTGGATATCTCGTTCGTATACACCTTCTCTTTATTCCTTATTTCCTAAATTTTGATAGTAACTATAACGATTGAAATAATACAAAATGCAAGAAATGAAAAAAATAACATCAAATGCAACATGACTCATGGAAAATTCAAACAAATAATATACCACTCTAGATAAATTTGGGTTACCTCTCATATAGTGCTAAGTTTATAGTCTTCAGCCAAACATACCTATTTTTGTATATTTAGCTTAGGTATATTGCTGGCATTCTTTAAATGATGCCTAATATGATCCTTTTCTTTTACCTTAAGGTTTATTTCTATATTATTATGTAAATATCCTAGAGGTCTACTACTAAAAAAAATTAAAAGTAGACTTAGTCGGGTTTCTAGATTTTTAATTAAAATTAAAATTTGGATGCTTCCTCCAACCTAGTTTATATTTATTGAAGTACGAATTATCTTATCTTCCAATCAAATTAAAATTTTTAATCCCTTACACATTATTATTTTCAACTAACTTTTGATCCTGAAATTTCCTGGATAATTCTGTTAAGAATTATGCATTTTTCTGATTATGCTAAACTTGAATTTTCTACAATTTGGGCGGTCAATATTGATAAAGCATAAGATTTGTACAATCTTGGTACTCTCTTAAGATTTACTCTTCCAGCAGCCACTGGAAATTATTAGTAATTATTTACTTTATTAATTCATTTATTTTCTCAAATGGCATAGACATTAATGATCCTTCAGCTTTAGCATCAATTATTTCTCTAAGAAATCCTACTAATTAATTATAAAAATTTTGAACAACTAAAAAAATAGATAAAACATGGTGAGGGGATTTCCTAAACATTTCCTTAAAATCTCTCAATTCTCATAAATAAATTCTTCTTCAAACTGAGTAAAAGAAATGATATCATTTCTAAGTTTAGTAGTCTTTGAAGGTGGGAGATACTTATGAGCCAACTCTTTCCAAGTGGTTATAGAGCCAGAGGATAAAGATTTCAACCACATCTTAGCTTTATATTCTAGAGAAAATAAGAATAATCTTAGTCTGATAGCATCATCAAATACACCATTAAACTAAAACATTCCATAATTTTTTAAGAACTTTATATGTGTAAATTAAGAACTTCCACATGAGTTCCCATAGACTAAGAATTTTGAAGCATTTGATTTATAACAATTTCTAATTCAAGTTTCTTAACTTGGATTGAAGGTTTATTAATGCTCTAATGAATTCTATCTACTAACAGGTTAGAGAAATTCCTAAGAGGTCAAGATTGATCTAGATTTAAAATAAGTTTAGTCATTTTTACTACCTTTTAGTTATTTTGAATTTTTAAAAGAATTCTTTATAGTTAAGTGTCAAATAATTAAAGTTCCTTTCTTTGTCTATAAAGCTTGCAATCATGAATATGCATCAACAAAAAAAATAAATTAAAAGATACCAGTCTAATTAAGAAATTAATTCAATAATATATTGAAAATCAACAAAAAACAAAATATTTCTTGAGATCTCTAACTATGAAATTAATTTAACAATATAGGTAATGGCAGAAAAAAATTGATTGGGGCTATGGAGTGAACTTTTAAATTATATAAAATATTGGGCTTTATCAACCATAAATAAAATGAATAAAAAATCTCACTAAATATACATAGGTATATGTGTTGAATTAAGTTAAAAAGTGAGATATACTACTATCTCCTCTACTTTAAATAATTATCTTACTAAAATAAATTTGATATTTTTAGAGATTTTATGATTGAGTAAAATAGTAAAAATATTGACATAATATTAAATTTTAGTATTTTGGAATGATGAGTGTAGAATTGCATATCTTTGCTAATGAAACTCTTCAAGTAATGTGATTCTGAGAATATACATCCTTAGATCTCTATCGAGCTTGTAGGGGTGAAAAGGATATATTCTAACCTCCTACATTTATAATATCTCCTTAAGAACTCAGAATATTAGGCATGCAAAACAACCTATCTCAAGAAATTCAATTTTTTTTGCATTCCTCTATTGAGGCTAAACATCACACTATATTTTAACTAAACATATGCTAACTATTTATGTTAAATAAAAAGATGGACAAAATTGAAAAAAAAAATTTTAAAATCTTAAAGAACTAGAGTCTTTATTAGTATTTAACATATATTTTAATTTATCAATAAAAAATAAAAGAATTAGCTAAACTAAGAATAATTAACTATCAAACTTTTATTTTTTAAATTTATGGAAGAATGTAAAATATGAAAGAGTGATATCACATGAGAGAATCAAAATATCTCCTCTATACTCCTTCCTTTAATCTATAGTATTGCCTTAAGAAACACAAGGTAAACACTCCAAACAATTATATCTTGGACTTCTTAGCCTCCCATAGATTTTACTCTAAGAGGGAACTAAAGAAATACTCTAAAATGTAATGTAATTACATAAGTTATTGAACTCACTTATAAATATAACACCAAAACTATTTAAAAAAACTTTAAAATGGTATATAGTGCTGCAACACTTGGAATAAAGGCATTGCGGTGCCTCTGAAATAAATAAGGGCCTCGACACTAAAGTTTTTACACTGCCGCAATACTTGCTGACTTGGATTAGTTACTTATTGAAAATTTGCACATCTTCACTGATAGAACATGAACCTTGGAAATTATAATTAAAATTCCTCGGTGTTGTGGACATTAGAGTGTTGTGGTGTCCATGTGCAAAAATAGCACCAAGGTATGAGAAATTCTTGCACCATATAATTTAAAAATATAGAATTTGGCTATGCCAAGCTTACTTATTAACACCATGATACAGATAATACTACACCATTCTCTGTATTTCCCTCATAGCACTTTAAAATAGGGAACACAATCGACCATGTCAGAATTTTAGCACCTCAATGCTATTGAAGGTAGTGCTGCAGCAATATTTTGTCAGATGTCATGGCGTTGAAGGCTCCTTGAAAATTCCTGAACATAAACATGAACATAACATACATTTGATTTTAAGTTAGAAAGTAAAATAGAAAACATGTTATACAACAAGAAAACATACTCACTAAGGATAGAAAAAAATCTCCCCCTTTTGACATCACTAAAAAGAGGAGTAGCAAAGAAAAATAACATAAAACACATTAGACAAGGACTTAGTCAAAGAAGGGTGCTGATCAGTTGGTAGCGGAGGTGGATAAAAGAAGTGATGGATGGATTCAAAATGATGATAGATCAAACAAAATATTACCCAAATCATCTAATATTATCCTCATGCTATTGGTGGTGTTCCTGGAAATAAGAGTTAATTCAGGTTTCAAGGGGGTTGAGTCATTGAATAATGTTGTCTAGAGGATAGGCAGAAGCAGGTCCTTTTGGTGGTATAGGTCTTCTTACTAGAGCAGTCTCCCCTTTTTCATCAAAATCTAGATTAGCATGCTCTTTTTTTTTTTGAGGAAATGCAGAAATTGCATTAAAATAAAAGTGTAGATAGCCTAATATAAACTAGGTAAAAGTAACTAATGAGTTAGTTGGAGAGAAATTTTACCGTACGACACACCTTATAAACTAGGTAAAAGTAACTAAAAGTGACCTTATTGAAACTAAATTTGTTAATTTAAAATTTTTATAAATGAAATGACATCCACTATCTCCTATTTTGAAACTGTTGAGATGCAGGGGATAATTAAATATAAGACAACGCGAGGGTTCATTAGTATCCCAGAGTTCCCATCCAGTTGGAAAATAAGAAATAGTAAAGATCCCATAATCACTTAGGCAAAGTTTAAAATAACAAATTTAAAGAAAAAGGAAATAAAAGCTGAAAATAAAATTACAAATCAATAATAATTTCCAAAAGTTTGGTAGTAATTTACCAAACTTTATGATCATATGCTCCATCTTCAAATATATCTCTGCTATAATGTTGTCCACGTGAGAAACTCTTTGTATTATTAGTGAGAAAAAAGGGAAGAAGACCCTTTAAAACCGATCTTCTCTTTGTGATCATCGATCTTCCTTCTAGGTAAATCTTTTGCCGGACCCAATGCTTGAAGTTCTTTGAATAAAATGTGCTTTGATCCAGGGGATTCATTCTTCTTGGTAAACAAGTTTTTGTCTTTCTTAGGAATAGTTTTTTTTGAAATTCAAACTAATTGCTGAATAAGGAGAATTATCCCTTGATTTGAAATCAGGAATAATAGAAGAAGAGGGATTACCATTTACTAAGGAAATAACCGCCAATGTTGTTGAGGGAGATCCTATTACAGATTTTGTAACAAAATCTTCCTGAATAGCATAAATTTTGAATTCAAAATCTGGTTTGTGAACTCCCAATGCTTCAGCACTTTGAGTTGATTCGGTAGCCTTTGTAGGAGACAAAGCCGAAATATGATCCTCCTTTATTTCAGACTCCAAAGTTTGAGGAATTTTAAATTTGAGAACTGAGTTAGTTGGAGAGAAAACCGGAGTCTCAACAACCATTGAATTGATCAAAAGTTTGAATTTTAAATGTCCAATTCTTCAGCAACTTCGATTTCAATCTCCCTGGAATCTTCTAACAAACCAGCATCCATATTATCCACATCAGCTAAAGAATTAAATGAATTAGACTCAAAAACTTATTCCAGAGAATCAAGCTGGTTTGTATTGAATTTAAATTTCTGGTTAACCGCCACTTCATCTCTTTCCTTGAAATCGACATTTTCTTCAGTTTGGCATTTGAAACCTGCAACTTCCACTGGATTAGACATCAGCCCGATCTTGTTTCCATCTTCTAATGTTTGAACAATTTCTTCTGGTTCAGCAAGAACAAATTTTTCACTGCTACCACCCGTTCCAGATTTTTTCTGCTGCTAAAAAAATCTTGGATTTCACTTGATTTCTTACTAATTTCTTCTTGTTTTTGAACTTGACTTGCATCCAAGCACCATAAAAATTTTCAAAATTATTTGAGATGGAAGGGATTTCTTCAACATTATGACAAACTGAATCAGTATGCCCTATTCTCCCACATTTGAAACAAAGTGATGAAAGATTTTCTTATTCAAACTTTTGAAAAAATTTTCCATGCAACCCTTCTACCCATATTCTAGAAGGAAGTTTAGAGTTCAAATTAACTAGAATGCATGCTCTAGCAAAATTCTCTTCTTCCCCACCTAAACATATTTCCATCCAATAATAATGGAGTCCCAATTCTAGAGATTATTCTTGTGATATTGGACTCATCCCAGCAGTGTAAGGGTAAGTAAGGAAGAAGAACCCAAATCGGAGACGAAACACCTTCCAATTAATTAGGTGAGAAGTTAGGAGACCATTTGTCTAACCCAATTGCAAAACCCCCTACGAACCATGGACATCCATTAAGGACTTCTTCCATTGCTTCATGAGATTGAAACGAACAAAGTAGCCAATCTAGGCCAAGCAAGGTTAAGTGGAATCCTCCATATTTCTTCCATTGTTTTCTTAATTCAATGGCACATTTTGAGTAAGGTATATCTTTCCCAAGATTTTAACAACCAAAGATTTACTCAAAACTTGATTATTGGATTTTTCTTTATCCACATCCAGTTTAACAATGTTTAAATCTTCATTCTCATCAAGATTTTTAATCCAATTAATTTTAATGTGTGGGTTTTTAATCCACGCATTAGAATTATCAAGATTTGAAGAGATAATTGGATTATTGATATTGACATTAGCCTTGTCAATATCCTTGAAATTCTTCAAAATATCAACAAAGCTACTCCTTGAAGAAGAAGCTTCTTTGTCATTTGCTCCAAATAAAGAAACCGGTAAAGGAGAGTTAGGTAACTTGTTAGAAACCGAAATTACCTCTTTTCTTTTACTTGAATCCTGAAATGGCTTATGTTTAGCCAACAAGGCTCCCTCTTTGATAATAAGAGGAGATTCTAAAACACGAAGATTGTGAG